ATTGCTGTACGTATAAATTTATAGGTACAATACTTTATACGAATACGTAATAGGCGTAAAATATGAGTATTTTTTTGTTTTTTTACTATGAGATTAAACGCCAAGGACGGCATGATGGGATTTTCCTGTAGAAAAGTGGTTGGTATACGTTAGATAAAAATATGTTAGGTATAGGTATAGGTAGTTGCTTGTAATAAAAGATGTAGGTGTAGGTACGTGTAAATTTGGACATTGGTGTGTCGGTTTTAAGTCGAGTGAAAGGTTTTCCTCAAAACAGCTTCATTCTGTTTTTACTTATTCTACTGCATTACATCTCTTTCTCTCGATTAAACATGAAACATCATGCCGACCGACCAAATTCCGTTATGTTATATACGCGCTACATCAACGTTCTTCAGTACTGGGCAACTAACTCCTCCATATAAGAACCTAACGATCCGATCTCGCAAAGTTTAACTACACATGAATTAAACAATATAAAAAATTAGCGTCGTTTTATAAAAAATAAACATTTGTTTTGTTTCTGCAGTTAGCATACTTGCTTTGATTTAATGTTACAGGAAAAAAATTGTTTTGCGTACCTACTAGTTAGAGTATTGCCAAACCACTATTACATAGATTTTAATTTAAAAACTGCTGTCTATTTTACTTAAAAAAATATGTTCTTATTGAATATCGAGTATTTTTTAATTTTCTTCACCAGCTTTCAACATTCCGGTGCAAACTCGTGAATCGTAAGGGGAAATGAACCGTTTAGTAAACTCGATGTATTGTAGAGACGAGAAAAACTAATAAGTTGCAAAACTAACAGTTGTCAGCTGCAGAAGAAGCATTGGGTGGGCAATGAATTCCATCAGGAGCGCCGAGCATAAAATAACAACAACAACTCAATTCACATGAAATAAAAAAGTAAAGCCAACCAGTTGAGAGAGTGGGTGTATTACGTGTCAGTATTATTATACCTTGTACTTTATAATACAAGGAACTTACAGTTAAGACAGTAAAGAAGCACGAGAGAGATATAGTTACATGTAGGAATGTACAAGGCAAAGTAAATGACATATACCTATTATATACATCTACGCAACGTTTTCTCCGATAACTTTTTGTTAGCACTTCTAAATAATAATAGTAATAATATGTATTTGATCGTAATGTATACGTACGCGCGCTAGCAAGTCAACAAATCGATAATCATCAATAAAATACGAGTAAACAAGAACGAATGGGTAGGTATGCATACTTGCTTGAGGGTGAAAAAGCCTAATTAAGTAGGTACTTTAAAAATTAATTAATTAATTACCTTGTCGGGTTGTTATCGGGCTTTGTTTGCTTCGTGTCCTTCGTAGTGATGGATTCGATCAAACTACATTGCTGAAGAGCCCTCTAAAAATACTTATATCGGTCCGATACAGGACATTATTTTATCCATCAGTTGAACACAGCACAGAGTTTAAAACCGCAGACCGTTGGTTTCTTTGTCCTGCAGCAGCAGGCTAGCTTTTCCTCGCTCTCGCTCCTAATACCTAGGTATGGTTGTGCCTAATTGGGTACATCCATCATATAAAATATATGTACACACGTTTTATTGGAGTTAGGTTAAAGTATTTAGCTGTCCAACGAGCGCCGGTGCCTCTCCCATAAGCGTTTAACAATAAGTAAGTATACCAATTAATATTATGCAGTACACACAAACACACGCGCACAAAATGAACCAACGGGCCTTTACAGTGGGTACTTATATGTAATATATATGTATTTGTTTCGAACTTTATCGTTTTATAAACACACCGGCAGTCACTCCCCACTGTAATAACACAAGTAATGTAGCGAGGCTACACGCTGGAATCGAGCAAAAATTCAAATCACCATGTGACTGTGCAATACTTGGAGAGAGAGAGCACTTGTAAGTGTATAAAATATATGCAATTATTGAGTCAGTCTATTAATTTTGTAGTATATTATTACTTGAAATTGTTTGTGCGTGCATACGCGCGGAGGACGAGCCTCACGAGCGTGTGTTGGCGGGAGCGCAGCCTCCGTGCAACTGGATTGAGTTGCTTCGCGCTGCCTAACCGAGGCTTCTCTCTTTCTCTTTCGTGCTTCTTTCTCCCCTCTCGCATCCATGCATCCGCGTACATACATACTTATACCGGCTTATTTTCTAGTACCTATATACATATATATTGTACGGTTTCTCTCTCTTTTTAGTTGATCGGCTCTCTACAGTCTCAGGTCTCTATACCTACTCCTGGACTCGAGGGACAAACTGACAAAGACGCCAGAGTACCTACTACACCTATACCTACCTATCCCACACACACAGAGAAAAAGGGGGAGGAGGAGAGCGAGAACCTCGGTCCATCCGGGGAGTAGAGAGAAAGAGAGCGGAGGCCGCAGTGCGCGAACAACAGCAACACCCCAACTTGGCTGGCTCCCTGCTTGATTGAGATACCAACTCGCTCCCTTCCTCCTACCTACTTACTTTTCTTATTTGCAGCCTCCAACACTTCTTTTCTCCTCCTCCTCCTTTGCTGCGGTCAATTGCTCGTATGTGCATATATGCAGCGGTGCATCGCCGTCGCCGATATAGCCCCTGATACGTATATAGGTATACATACCCCACAAGAACTTTTACCGGTTACGGTGTATATTGTACGTACCTATATTTATAACATCATATTATTACCTGTAATGTAATTTACATACCTATGAAATATTTTACCTATAATATTGTATACTTACTATGTATAAACCTTTTTTTCGCTTACACACAATACAAATATGAACATTACCAATCCTCAAATAAGTATACAATACCATTTTAGGGTGTTGATTCATGATTATATATAATATATATAAACATTATTTACACGTTCCCTCCCGCCCCATCACACGCCAAATAGGTTGTACATCTTACCTATAATGTTGAAGATAATAATAATAATAATATATTTTACGTAGATACATGTACTTAGGTATATACGTTGCACGCGTACAATATGCCATGGCTTTTATCCCATGCACGGGGGGGGGGGAGGGAGCATCTATATATTTATATAATGGTTACACTTATATAAATATGCTGGAGCCATCATGTGTTAGCGCGCGATGGTTCTCAACCACTACCATAGCGTTAAAGTTATTCCGGCCCATTCTAAGATTTTCTTCTCACTTTTTTTTTTCTTTGCATCCGTATCTACACATCCATACCAGTATATATGTATATATATGTATATATATATGTATATATATGCATGTGTATATACCATCTACAGGTATTGGTGATGAATGGGAGGAAACGAAAAAAGAGACCCTCACAGAGTGGGCCGAACCAACGATATTCCTTGTTGAGACGAAATGCATAATATATACGTGTATATATATATTTGTATGTATATATAACTACTTGTTTGCGTCGTTTGCGATCGAACAAGCGCTCGAAACAAATGGGAGGGAAAAAAAATTTTTTCTCAAGCATATAACCTGCTTCGATAGATTCGACGAAGTACCTACCTACTTACAACTCGATCTCCAAAGGGGTTATTCGGTCATTTGGGTGTTACGAAGCCACAACATCGACACGCATCAGGTATATACTTTGCGGATCGTTTCGCCGAAACTATGGCAATTTTCAGAACGAAACCCTAATTTAATTTCAATAAAATAAAGAAATTTTTTACAACTCGTTTTTAGCGTCATTCGTTATTTCTGTGACATTTAAAATATATCAACTGGTCTGCAATAGTATAACGGATGTTTTTTTTTTTTTTTTTTTTTCAACAATCCTTAGTATAACCATAAGACAACTTTTTGTGCCGTAAAAATCGTATTTTTTCGATACTAGCGTGACACGCCAACAACAGTTCCATGATTGCTCTAATGAAAGATGTATAACTCATCGCAGCAAACATCAAAAATGAAGAAAAAAAACCTTCAAAGAGGGGAAAACGTCTTTTTACACTTACGTACTCTTTGAGCTGGAATAAAAAGTATATGCTTCGCTTTAAAGACCTTTCTTGTTTTTACATAAAAATTACCTAATAAACCACAAAAATCTTAATAATTGAGGGATAATTATTGTGAAACTTTGGAACCCACGGAATCGTTAATTGCTTCATTTTAACCATTGAGTATAGGAGACTAGGCCACAAATGTTGCGAGTTTCGATGGAATGGTCCATATGTATGTACGTGAAACAACAAAACGAGGTGCCCCCCTTAACTCCAAAAAAGGGAGAACTGTTGATAGGGATCCCTAAAATTCACCCGCCCACTCCCTTTCCACTTTTTTTTCGGTTTTGTTTTCGAGACAGGTGCTGCAGCATCATTCGTTCCTGTAAAAGAGAGCCACGTATAAGCCTTTCTTTTCTCTCTGCTCTCCTTCCAAGCCCTCTATCGTTTTGAGAAAAATTTTCACAGCACTCTCTAGGGGTTCATAGTGGGACCGTGAATGGTAATTTCGGGGTGATGGATGAGTAAAGTAGGTATATAGGGTATAGGGTAGGTGTGTGCCGAGAATCCGATGCATGTGTATGTACACATATTTTCTACATTATATTATGACATGACACATTTGACATTAGATCGGGGATGAACGTTTTTTGGACACGTTAGAAGGAAAGCCTTTCAGAGGCGTGTGCATCGAATGTTCGGAAAAAAAAAAAAAAAAAAATAGGCATACTCATGGGTGAGGCAGCGAAATACTTATGAAAAACCATAGAAAACTTTTTATATGCTGGTGAACATTAATTTAAAAATCAGGTGATTAGTCAAGTGAATGCCACGTTAGTCATATCTACGAGTAATTTTATCAGCAGGCAAATTCATAAGTTGTACCAGAAGAACAGGATGGATCCTGTCTAAATGCAAATTTATATGATGTAAGAACAACAACATTTTCCTCGGCTGTGATATTGTGTGCCTTAATTTTTTGATAAATACATTAACTTACAGTTAAGACAGTAAAGAAGCACGAGAGAGATATAGTTACATGTAGGAATGTACAAGGCAAAGTAAATGACATATACCTATTATATACATCTACGCAACGTTTTCTCCGATAACTTTTTGTTAGCACTTCTAAATAATAATAGTAATAATATGTATTTGATCGTAATGTATACGTACGCGCGCTAGCAAGTCAACAAATCGATAATCATCAATAAAATACGAGTAAACAAGAACGAATGGGTAGGTATGCATACTTGCTTGAGGGTGAAAAAGCCTAATTAAGTAGGTACTTTAAAAATTAATTAATTAATTACCTTGTCGGGTTGTTATCGGGCTTTGTTTGCTTCGTGTCCTTCGTAGTGATGGATTCGATCAAACTACATTGCTGAAGAGCCCTCTAAAAATACTTATATCGGTCCGATACAGGACATTATTTTATCCATCAGTTGAACACAGCACAGAGTTTAAAACCGCAGACCGTTGGTTTCTTTGTCCTGCAGCAGCAGGCTAGCTTTTCCTCGCTCTCGCTCCTAATACCTAGGTATGGTTGTGCCTAATTGGGTACATCCATCATATAAAATATATGTACACACGTTTTATTGGAGTTAGGTTAAAGTATTTAGCTGTCCAACGAGCGCCGGTGCCTCTCCCATAAGCGTTTAACAATAAGTAAGTATACCAATTAATATTATGCAGTACACACAAACACACGCGCACAAAATGAACCAACGGGCCTTTACAGTGGGTACTTATATGTAATATATATGTATTTGTTTCGAACTTTATCGTTTTATAAACACACCGGCAGTCACTCCCCACTGTAATAACACAAGTAATGTAGCGAGGCTACACGCTGGAATCGAGCAAAAATTCAAATCACCATGTGACTGTGCAATACTTGGAGAGAGAGAGCACTTGTAAGTGTATAAAATATATGCAATTATTGAGTCAGTCTATTAATTTTGTAGTATATTATTACTTGAAATTGTTTGTGCGTGCATACGCGCGGAGGACGAGCCTCACGAGCGTGTGTTGGCGGGAGCGCAGCCTCCGTGCAACTGGATTGAGTTGCTTCGCGCTGCCTAACCGAGGCTTCTCTCTTTCTCTTTCGTGCTTCTTTCTCCCCTCTCGCATCCATGCATCCGCGTACATACATACTTATACCGGCTTATTTTCTAGTACCTATATACATATATATTGTACGGTTTCTCTCTCTTTTTAGTTGATCGGCTCTCTACAGTCTCAGGTCTCTATACCTACTCCTGGACTCGAGGGACAAACTGACAAAGACGCCAGAGTACCTACTACACCTATACCTACCTATCCCACACACACAGAGAAAAAGGGGGAGGAGGAGAGCGAGAACCTCGGTCCATCCGGGGAGTAGAGAGAAAGAGAGCGGAGGCCGCAGTGCGCGAACAACAGCAACACCCCAACTTGGCTGGCTCCCTGCTTGATTGAGATACCAACTCGCTCCCTTCCTCCTACCTACTTACTTTTCTTATTTGCAGCCTCCAACACTTCTTTTCTCCTCCTCCTCCTTTGCTGCGGTCAATTGCTCGTATGTGCATATATGCAGCGGTGCATCGCCGTCGCCGATATAGCCCCTGATACGTATATAGGTATACATACCCCACAAGAACTTTTACCGGTTACGGTGTATATTGTACGTACCTATATTTATAACATCATATTATTACCTGTAATGTAATTTACATACCTATGAAATATTTTACCTATAATATTGTATACTTACTATGTATAAACCTTTTTTTCGCTTACACACAATACAAATATGAACATTACCAATCCTCAAATAAGTATACAATACCATTTTAGGGTGTTGATTCATGATTATATATAATATATATAAACATTATTTACACGTTCCCTCCCGCCCCATCACACGCCAAATAGGTTGTACATCTTACCTATAATGTTGAAGATAATAATAATAATAATATATTTTACGTAGATACATGTACTTAGGTATATACGTTGCACGCGTACAATATGCCATGGCTTTTATCCCATGCACGGGGGGGGGGG